GTTAGCTATTGACAGATGGGTCTGTTAATATCCTTTGGCTTTATTATGCCTGTTAGCTGATACGTACCTGGCTTAAACATCATTCAGCCTGAAAACATCCTTTTTTTCCTTTAATAGCCTAAACAGAAAATGTAGAACTGCTGGTGTCATACTGTGGACCTCTGTGCTGTGGCAGGGTTCCAGCTGGGATGGAAGCAGGAGGCAGGGGTCGTGTGCCATCCATCCTGCTTTTCTCTCTGAGGCTCTGGGTGTGTGTTCCTGGACCGTGAGCCGGCTCAGCTGGCCACAGTGGGACAAGCACTCAGGTGTTAAGACAGGGTCCTGGGCAGCCAAGACCTACTGACAGGATGTGATGGTGAGGAATGAGAAAGGACAGACCTCGTGTGCAGGTCCTGGAGGCTTGATGGCTAAGTCTATCTGAGCATGTGAGTGTGCTCTCCTTGGTTGCTAATACTGCTCAGAAGGGACAGGGGAAAGGGACGGGTCGTACACTGTGCGTGTGAATACATACATCCCACGCGGGGCTGATTTTGCCCTCTGTAAGGTGTTTTTAGTGAACCTATTCTGCAGGAATGTTCTCCCCTCTGCAGCCCGTGTGATACTCACAGCCAGCTGGTAGAAACTGTCGGTTTGGTTTGGTTTTGCTCTTATTTTGGAAAGGAAAGGAGGTGAAGGCAGAGACGAGGCTGTGCATTGCTCTGTGCTCTTGTTCTGGCCCCCCCTGGCAGCATCCTGAGCCTGGTGATGAATGAGCTTGTTGCGTGAGATCCTCCACTGAGGCTTCAGCATCTCTAATAAGGCGGCCAGCGTTTCACTGTCCTCTGCGCCTGCCTCTGCTTTATTAACTGCGCCGCAGCAATATGAAGCTGGAGCACTGGGCCAGGAGGAGGAAGGAGGCTGACGAGGGGGTGGAGGGAAGAAGATAGCAGGGTAGCCTGGGAGAAGAGCACGCATGGAGCAGGAGGGTGAGGGTAGCAGCGGGCGATTGAAGCAGAGGATTAAAAAAATGGGTTCCTGCTGGACTGATGCATGCAGCTCTGCAAGGACCTGCTGCTGGCAGTCAGGGAGCCAAAAGATGTTTAGGGAGGGGGAAGCAGAGACAGATTTTGGCCTTAATGTCTCTGTCTGCTGGCCCTGTGCTAGTGATGACAAGCCGTCACTTGCTCTGCACTCACAGAGCTGGCTGCTGCTGTCCCCTGTTTTCTCCCTTGCACTAATTTAATGCTTTTTAAACCGTGCTGGCAGCTCACCTGGCCCTTTCCCCAGTGGCTGCAGCTGGCCCAGGGGAGACATTTGGCCCATGCTGCTTTTCACCTAGAAGAGTTTTTCCTTCCAAGGACTTCCCGGGCCAGTTCTGTCAGGGTGCCAGGACGGTGGGCATCGTAGTAAGGATGTGCAGAGGGCAGCCTCGCTGGCTGCTATTTGCTGTGTCTGGTCAAGTTGCAGGTTGTGTCCAAAGAGAGGAACTGTGTCCGAAGTATTTTGTGGAGGGGAAGGACCCACTAGCTGTCCTAGGATGGAGATGCAAAAAGTCATCACTGGTGGCAGACAGGCCAGTACCATGTGCAGCCACATAACTGGGCTCTGGGCAAGGCTTCTGCTGGTGCAGAAGGTTGATTTTGCTGACAAACTTCTCAAGTGCAGCTATGGCTTGCACAGTATGAGATGATGGGAGCACAAGTGAAATGGACCCTAATGGGTCCTTGGAGCATTCTGTAAAACCAACTCAATGTCATACTCCCTTCTTAAGGCCCACGGGAGTGGTTTTTTTAATCTCCATCCCAGAAGGAATGGAGATGCGTATTGATAGGCCAGTGGATTTTTCTCAAAGGGAGTTTCTCCCAGGGTCTGGGATGGATGATTTTGCAGGGGGAAGACAGGCACGTTCTTCTGCACATCAGAGCTAAATCATTGCAAGAAGCAGCCTGAGAAGACAGGGAGTCCTAGGGGAGTAGGGGGCCCAAGATGCCGCCCTTGCAGCTCCTCGCCCATTTTCCCCAAGTGTCCATGGCTGCACTTTGCTTCCTGACAGGGCTGGAGCTGGGCTTCAGTCTGCTCCCTCTTCCTGTCCTTGCAAAACTTTTCTCCCATGCTCCAACAGGAGGTATGTCCCAGACTATACATTTCCCATTACCTAGTGATCCAGGTCTCTCCTGGGAAGCAGGATAATTGCAACCCAAGGGGGGGCGGGGCACATGTGCTTTCATTCATTTTGTCATTTTACAGCCAAACCTGGGTGACAGCCGGGTTTTTATTTGCTTAAAGCCACGTGCCCCTGAGGATAGACTCGACTGGGGGATCTAGAGCTTTGCGGTGCAGGCTGGAGGCTGAATTCTTGGTTTGTCCTGGATTAGGTGATGTGGGAGAGTAAGTGGTTTGACATGGCTCCCGGAGGCTTTAGATACTCAAATTCCACCGGACTCCCAGCTGAGGTGGAATTTGCACTGTCTGAATCTCACCCTCGGGCTTCTCTCTGACTCTCCATTTTGTTTCTCTTCTAAAGGTTATGTCTAGACAAGGGAAATGGCTCCTGACCTCCTCCTATTTTCTGGCTGTCTTCCCAGCACCCCAGCTGATGACAGCCTGCTTATGGTCCCCCCAGTCAGGTTTGCTCCCCAAAAAGCCCCATGCCAGGAGCCGTACCGCTCCAGGCTCCTGCTTCTCTCCTGTGACCCCTCTTCTCCTCCCACATAATTGGGGGTCTGGTGCTAATGATCGCAGGTGAGGTTGCTGCTGCCCCACACTTTCCCCACTGACAGGTTTGCTGTAAACCTTCCTCCCTGCATCCTGGTTCCCGTCATCCTGTAACTTCAGAGTTAATGATGAATGCTGAGCCTGCCCATCGGGAGAATTACCTTTGTGGTGAAACCTGTCAAGGATATAGCAAAGGCAGGGGGAGGCTTAATGTCTGGGACAGTGGACAGTGGGCCATGGAAAGCCCTGCCAAAGGTCTTTTTACCAGGACCGGCATCCCTAATAATGTATCTTGCCACAAGGATGCAGGCACTGTACAGCAGCAGGCAGGAAATTGGGTTTTTTTACAACACAATCCATGTTCCTGTCCTTCCCCCACCATGCAAGCATGACTGTGGCAGGGAAGTTTTGCTGACATGTAATTTATCATTTTTAGTGGTGGTGATTTTGACAGCGATATTTTCCCCATTGTTTTCTTGAAACTTCTCTGCTGCCTTAACAGGCTGAACAATGTTCAGCTGATACGGTTCCGCTGGCATCGTTCAGCTCCTTCCTCAGTGGGCACCGGAGAAAGAGGATGACTCCAGAGGACCACTGACTTGAACTAGACCCCTTGCTCTGGTCTGCAGAGGTAGCATGGGCTGGGGTTCAAGGGTGAATCCTAGCGAAGGGTGCTGAGGAAGCCTGGCAGTAGAGAGGTCCCAGTGAAATGCTGCAGGACCCAGGCAGGAAATGAATGAATATGGCAGCAGTGATTGTGAACTGAAGGGGATCTTGGTGAAATGCCATGTTGTGTGTGTGCACAGGACCTTGGTGCACTAATGGAGGTGAGCTGGGTTCATTCCTCACCTCTTGGAGACATTGGTTCCAACACGGAGTTGCTCCAGGACCTGTAGTTCAAGTTGTCCCCCCATCAGGAGGACGCCAAGGTTTTCCTTCAGGAAGAGCTCAGGCTCCTGATCACTGTTCTGTAGCAGGGCTGGGAATTTTCTTTATTATTAATGAAGATTATTATTATTATTCATTATTAGTTATTCATTAATATCTCACTGATAAACCAGGTGTACTTGTCTGTATGGGAAGAGGAGGAATAGGGTGTTAGATCGTGGATAGGATCCCTCAGGTTTCCAGTTTCAGGATTTTCGTAACGCTGGGGGTTCTTTTTTCTATGCAGCTGTCTCAGAGAAGCACCATCCAAACCTTCATTCCCGTGCAGAAAATGGAGAAAGGCCTGTTGCTCGAACACATCTTGCCCAACCTGAAAGTGCCTCAGAGCTATGAAGTTCACCTGACGCCCATCACCAGCTTTGGGGCTGGGGATATGGCAACCCGCATCATCCGGTACATGGAACGTAGGTGTCTCCTCCTCGGTCCTGGCTACGAGAGCAGGTCCGAGCCTCAGGCCAAGGGACATGAGCATGCGTAGATCTTGTCTTCTGTGACCCTTGCATGGATCTCTCCACTCTGTGGAGTTTTGATGGCAGGGTGCTGTCACGTTTGGCAGTGTGTTGGCTGTTGCCATCAATGCAGAGCACCGATGGAGACCTCTCGGGGCTGGTCTCCACTTGTCCTTCGCTCAGGAGCTCTGACTCATGCTCTCTGCTCTGTGGACGGGAGACCCCCAAAGCCCCAGTCCTCGGTCAGACCATGCTGCAGCCTCCCGTGGCACAGTAACAGCTTTTAGAGGACAGCCACGGGACACTGCGTTTCAGCCACATGCCCATAAGAATAAGAGAATTTAGGATTTCAGGGGGCTTCAATTATTTCCAGAGCTGAATGCCCAGTTCCTTTCCTAACTAGTCACTAGTAAACCTATAGCTCTGTCCAACACCCTGAATCCCAGATCATCCCATGGATGTACATTGAGCATCTTCTCCCCCCAGCATCTCAGCAGCTCACAGCTCTGCCCATTCCTACAACCCTGGGATTTCTTTACTCCCCTCAGGAGTTTGGACCCTGCATTTCAGCAGAAAGTACAGATCCCCCTACTCCTACGTTTGCATGATTTCACGCAACCCTCTTGTCCTGTGGAGCGACAATGTGTCTGGTGTTCCCAGCATACCTGTTGTCTTGGACTTCCACAGTGTCTCAAACTGTTTTGATGTCCCTCTTAGACATTAGCTTTAGCTCCCAGTGGGTGCTCCAGAAAGAAACTCGGGTTGCCAGAAGGGTTCCCCTGTGCAATCTCAGGATCACCCCTTAGCTGGGGTTTTCTTAAGCTCTGTTGCTGGATCAGAAGGTCAGCATCTTGTTCCATCACCAAGGCAGATGCTGAACACTGCTGTTGCACAGGGATGCTGCCAGATTTGTGCACCTATGACCTTTCCTGGTGTGTTTGTTTTCTATGATTTGCGGTTTGAAGGAATACTAGTGTTCTGACTTGTTGTTTTTCTGTTTCCTCTTCCAGCGATCAGCTATCCCAACCCAACAGGTAAGCAACAAGACCTCTGTATTTATGTTTTGAATGTCATGCATGTTAGTCCAGTACTCCAGCAGATCAGACAAGCCGAACAGCTGGAATACACAGCTGACTTTGCCAAATCTTTTTCCCCAAAAGAGGATGAAATGGCGTACAGTAATAATGCTTCCAGTAAGTAATGCCATTTGCTGTACCTCGAGTTATTGCCAGGACATATCCACCAGAGGCGTGCCTCCTGCTCACACCTGGTATCTCTGTGACTGGATAGGCTGTGATCTTGAACCCACCCTCCCTCTAGCACTAGTGATCTGCATCCAGTAACCAGGTTATTAAATGTTTCCCAAAATATCTGTGTTTAAGGAATGTATAACCCCCATCCTCTTCCAACTGGGAAAGATACTGCTTGACATCTCTGCAGGCTGGTATTGAGCAGTCTCCAGCTCAGATCTGGTTCCTCTTCCAACATCCTTGAGCACAGTTCCTTTCTTCTTCCCCTCCAATGTCATCACTGTTTACTTGCTCATTTACCTTCTGGTCATTGCTGCCAAGATTCAAACCCATCTGTATTGAGCACCCAGCGTTCCCATTGGTTTTGAGAGCAGAATGCACGACGTCTCAGAACGATGGTCTTTAACAAGAACATGATGGTGCCCATGGAGCATAAAAGAGGATTTCTAGTGTGCTGTAAGTAGTGGTGGAGTGATCTCCAAGGGATGAAACAAAGTCCCTTTGCTTTCATTGTTGGATATCAGCCCGAGCAAAGCTCTTAAACAGAGATGGGCAGAGATGGGTGGTCCTTGGAAAGCAGGTGGCAATATGTAGCTGCTTCTTTCTCCCTGTTTCCAGCTGCTGAATTAAATTAAAAGAAGCTGAAACAGCAGTTGGTCTTTTTTAGAGAGTACTCTGTGTATGTGTGGGCAAACGCTGCTGCTGCACTGCAGGGCAGCAGTGGGAAGGAGAAGCCAGGAATAGCCAACAGGAGCGAGGATATGGGGTTATTTTCTTACAGCAGTCACAGAGCATTCACTCTTGGAAGTTCACACTCTGAGGATGGTTTGATGAATCCTACTCTGCCTGAGAGGAGGAGCTTCATATAGAGTCGGTGGGATTTCGTGGCTCTAATTCCTGATTCCCTTTGCTTTGCTTTTCCCCACTTTCTGATCCTCTTCAAACATTCTCCAGAGACGACTCGGTGGGGAACACTGAACGTATTGTCAGAGACACACTCCAGAAGGTGTGCCTTGGTACTCGCTGGAGGAGGCAAGCATCCCGGCTCGCAGGAGGAAGTGACAAAATCTGGCCTTTGGCCACTTGCTTTTACACTACAGAAATCACTGGTAAAGCCAGAGCAACTTCAGTCCTAGTTGTGTTGATCACTTGGGGTCTTCATAAACTGAGCCTTCAGACTGCTCACCTGGGGTTGCTTCAGCAGCACAGACCAGGACAACCCCGTTAAATTCACGTACGGTGGAGGATAACTCAGCCACGCTTGTATTGTCATGCAGCAGACCCCACATTTAGGGATTCTCCTTGATATGAGTTATCCAGTCCGTGCTGGACATTGGGGCTTCTGGGCCAGGTTCTTGCCTGTGAGTTCACACCTTGAGACTGACTGCCTAAATTTGCACCAACCACACTTGCTTTCAGCGATGCCTCTTCCTTTCAGACCTGCTGCCAGGGAAATATGAGCCCAAAGGCTCTGAGCTCTGTCTCTGGGCCACAGCTCAGTTCCCAGCCTCTCAGCCCAGGAGCATGGAAATCCCTGCTGCTGTTGCTTATTTTCCCACTTCCCTTGCAACCATCACCCCCAGGGAAAAGGGTTGGGACAGGATTGTAAAGGTATCCTCACGCTTGACTGGCCAGCCAAATTCTGGGAGCAAACACTGAGAGCTCTCAAGTGAAAGGCAAAGATTAGATGATTAATGCCTCTGGCAGCCTGATCCAAGGGCATGCACAATGGTGATTAATTTACAAACTCTCAGAGTCACTTAATACAATTATTTCTTCATGCATTTTCTCTCCCAGCCTAATAAGATGTTAATGACATTGGGGCAGGCATGCATGTGGCACGGTTACAGAGCCAGGTACTGGGTTTATAAAGCAAAGTAAAAGCAGAGGAACTGAACAAAAGGCATTCAGGTTAGCAGTAAGGCTGACCATAACTCTTAAAAATCAGTTAATCTGATTCTAGAAGGCAGTATTTATCTTGAAAAACTCTCTTGGAATGATCCTAATTCCAAGGTATTGTATTAAAGATCTCTTAGAATAACTGATGATTTTAATGTCATGACTAAATTCCAGTGCTGGGGAATCTGTCTGTCCTTCTCACCTCTCCTCTGCAATTTCATTTGGATATAACCTTCACTTTCTAACCCAAACCCTGCAGTATTCCCCCCCAAACTATTCCAGCTCATCAGCAGTGGATGGTTTGGTTTCCCTGGTTCTAGCAGATGTAGCCTTGCAACCTTGGTGATGAGAGCATTAAGAAGCATATGGGATTGCTGGGTTGTTTTTTTTTTTCCTCTTGGCCAGTGTGTCTTGCCCTTCCAGAGCAGCAACATTATTTTTCATATATCTGCAGTCTGGCTGTGTGTGGTGCTAAAATGTTTTGGGATCATGGACAAGTACGGTGGGTGGTGACCAGGACCAGATGCTGGTTGCTGTAGATTACCCTGGCTCATTGCTCACTGTCTTGTGCTGGTGTGTCCTATCCCTGGTAACGCCTCATCGTCCAGAGGAATCTGAGCTTGTTGCCCCAGTATGAACACATGGGAATGAGATGTAAGCCCAGTGTTTCGAGTTGCATTCCTCAAATCTGTGCCCATTCCTCAGGAATGTGTGTAACGCAAAGGTTAAAGAAGGTGACTGCCACTAATGCCTTGTATTGTGACAGCAAATAGAATTGTGTGGGCCGTCCTATCCCCTTGTCACAGATGGAGGTATTAAAGCAGATGGCAATCCAGTCTGACCCAACTAGTTACCGTATTGTGAAGCTTTCTCCTATTGCTGGTTACAAACGTTTTAGAAAATTACCGTGGAAGAGTCTATTAAAGGCTGTTTCTTACATCCCAGCATACTCTGAGGTCGCAATCCAGTTTTCATCGTCTTCATCTTCTGGGTGGGGAAACTGATCTCCAAGGAGAAAGTGATGGCCCGTGGGTCATGCAGCAGGTCTGCAATGGAGCTCAGGCTCGGAGCACAAGGGACCGTGCTCGAGCCAGTTTCAGTCATCAGACCACAGCTAAATGACAAAGGCAATTTTATTCAAGTGTGCTCCATCTGCTATTCACCCATAGTCCGCAGCTAGAATAGGATTATTATTTTCTGCATTCATCTGGCAGACAGAATTTCAGGGCCAGGGATGGCTTTCCCCTAAGGACCTGAAATGAAAACCTCCATTATGTTTCTCAAGAAGGCAAAGCAACAAGAAATGCTAATAGCCACAGCAGAGGGTCTCTCCCCTGGGAACGCAGGGAGGTGTCTGTAACCAGGAGCAAACATCTCCGCGCTTTGAGCTGCCACGGCTGCAAAGCCTGCCAGGGAAGTCTGCGTGGTGAAGACAGCGCTAACTCCAGCCTTTGAGGAACCAGCTCCCCTGCCACCTCCACCTCGCCTCTAACAATCCAGAGAACAACTTCTCTGTTCAATATTTAAACCCACTGTTTAATTTTTAAACAGGAAGCTTCCTTTGCCTACCCTCCGGCGTGCCGCTGATGTCCGTGCTGAGCCAGGATCCCGGGCGGATGGTGTGAGTCTGCAAGAAGGTTTGCTTCACACGGCCAAGGTCAACAGTGAGATCACAGCTGTGGCCTCTGAGACACAGCAGGTCGTTCAGAGGTTTTCTTTTTGGCTGGATCTGCCAGGTTGCTCCTGGTTGAGCCTTGCCGATAATCATGCAGAGGTGATGTGCTGGCCGTGTCCCAAACCACACTGAACCTATCGTAGTTATTCTGGGCACCTCCTCTTCTAGCTTGGAGAAACTCCAGAGTTTTGTCTTCCTGTGGCTTGTTTTAAACCAAAAAACCAGGAGTCAGAGCACTTGGGTTCTCTTTCCAGCTTTGGCACTGCCTGCTGTGACCTTAAACGTGTCTCTGTATGCTTTCATGCATCTGTTTCCCCACGTGTGATGCAGGAGGTATGTAGAAAGAGGCATGGCTCCCTCACAGAGGTGTTAAAAAGCCTTGTTCATTAGTTGTTGCCAAGTGCCGTGGGATGCCAGGCTGAGCAGAGGCGATGTGCTGTGGTTAGAAACTCCTGCGTGGCCGCTGATAAGCGTGATCGTGTCGTGGCATCTGCGGTGCATAGGACCCTTCCTCATTTTATGCTCTCTGCTAGAAGTGTTGCCTTCTGGAAGTATCTTCATCTGCGTGAGGGGAGAGAATGGAGTCAGGGCATTGAAAGAGCTCTCTTCAAGCTTTGGAGGCATCTTCTCTGGGCAGTCTCATCCCTTGGGTGTGTGGGGCTTCTCACAAATGGGGCACAGTAGTCCAGCAGCTGGAATGACCAGGCCTTGGGAATACTGTCCTTAGTCCTCTTGTCTTGCGCAGCTCCTCTGATCTCTACCTGAGCTTGGGCTTTCCCCTCCATCTGCCTCTCCTTTGGTTTCTGTGCCTCATCCTTTGGGGGTTTGCCCCCTCTCCATTGGTGGTCTGGCTGGCCTCTGTGTGACAGCTTTCAGCTCTTGCTTTCCACCTGATAGTCCCTGTTAGGGGAATTCTGTGCTGGAGGAAGATGTCCACCTTTCTCCTCTGAAGGTCCACATGCACAACAGGGTCAGAGGTGCCAACCATCCTTTTATTGCCAAGGGACAGTCACGGTGGATCCTGCTGTGTCGGGTAATGCCATTGTGAGAGAAAACTTCTGTCTTCTAACTACAGCTGCCAACCTCTGAGCTGGAGCCACTCAAGTGTTTGTCTTTGGTCTGATGGAGAGAAACGGCAGTGTGAGACCAACCCAGCACTATCAGAAAGCTTGTGGGCTCCAGCCCCTTCTCTGAGGACCAGCAAGGACCAGTACAGCCACCAACTCCCTCCTCTCAGTCCCAAGGGCTGGGAAGGACCCTTAGAAGATGCTTCCTCACCCTTTCCGCCCTCCATCTCCTCGTGCTGGGGATGGAAGGAGCCCCCCAGCCCACCCAATTGTCCTGCCTCAGACCCCACAGGCACCTGCCCTGTTGTCCGCTCCTCCCTCCTCCTTCAGCTCCAGCTGCCGTGTGGCCCCTGCGCTCTGCACTGCGGCGCAGCGGCTAATTTGGATGAGGATGCTAATTAGAAATGAGCGGATTGAACGGAAAGCACTTAGCCAGGGTTAATCACCAGTTAAGTGGCGAGCCCAGCCGAGCTCCCGATGGCTGTGCTCAGCTCGCAGGAGCGGCGTTTCCCACTGAGCTGACAGAAAACCCAGCTGCTCCGCTCTGTGAACCAAGCCCTTGGCTTGCAGCACGGTGCCCAACCTGTGATGGCCAGGACCTTTTTGCAGGCCATGGCAGAAGGCTGCCTCCTCTTTTCTCACTGCGTTGGTGGGATGCTGGTGGGAGCCAGGCAAGAAGGGGGAACAAGAGCGTGGAGAGCCCAGGAGGAGCTACAGGGTAGGAACCAGGAGGTGCAGCATCTCAGAGTCAAGATGCTGTCCATTTCATGGGCGGTCTCTCCTCTCTGGTTCAAGAAGGCAGATTTCTGGTGTGCGTGATAGGTGTGTGAAGCTCCTACCATCGCAACATACCATGTCTGGAGCTTTTGGATCTGGTATTGCAGAATCCCATCCCATCCTTGGCACCCAGCCCATAGGTTGCTGACCCTGCTCTGCCCTACATGTCCTGCCAGGGTCACCTATGGTAGGACAGAGAGCATCCTGCCGAGGAACCAGAGCAGACCACTGCTCAAGATACAGGAATGCAGGAGCCCTAGTAGGGACTTGGGCTTCTCTTCGTCTGGGCATGATAACAGGAACAGCGTGGGGGGTAAACCCCCCAAAGTTGAGTCCAGCGTGCCATGGATGAGGTTTCTAGCACATCCCAAACCCTTAGAAAGATCCTTGTTTTCCTTTCTGTCTGTGTTCTTTCCTGGCTTTTAAGGACTCTCAGTTTCATAGCACACCTCCCTGCTGTTATATAAAGGCGGTAGGTAAGGAGATCTGCACTTACTGTGTGTACACCACTTGCGAGGACCGAGATCCCACTCGCAGCGCGTTCTCCAGCTGTGGTTTCTGTCCAGGGACCTTTCAGAACACAAAGCAATTTTCACATCAGGTCTTCAACCTGTTTTCTCTTCTGCCTGTTTCCTCCATCCCTCTCCTACTACGCCAGCAGTGCAAAGCTGGTTCTTGGCCGTTGTTTTTGTGGCTCAGGAACTACCTTGTACCACAACAGTTACCATCTTCTGGTCAAGTCCAATTAGTTCCAATCTCTGCAAGTCCATGTTGGGTTATGTCCATGCACAAGATTTTTCACCCATCTTACAATACTGCTGTAGGGTGTGACTGTCTCGTGGTAGTAGTAAAACCAAGCCCTATTGCACGTGTGATTGATCCTACATAAAAATCTTTACCTACAGGACTTATTTTGTTAGGGGAGCCAGCATCAGCTGCAATATCAAGTGTGCCTTTTAGCTGGTATAAATTGGATGTACTCTAGCTAAATGACACATTTGTAGCCCTGAGCTGACCTCTTCTCCGCAGCTGATTTTTTTTCACGTGTGCTGTAGTTTAGTTTAATATATAGCCCAAAGGGGGGTCATCAGCTGGTGCTATTTCCTCTCTCCTGGGGAAATTATTCTGCCGTCAAGTTGTTCTGGTTTAAAAGCCCTTGTGGCCTGTTTGCCTTCAATATTCTTTACCCTCCTCTACGTTTGCCCCTTCAGACCTCCCAGCAGAATCTCCCTTTCTCTTTAGCTCTAACAGCTTTCTTTCATTTTGTCAGATCATCACCTCCGTCAACCTGGATTAACCCTTCTGTAATCACACTAATCACGCTTACATTCCTTTCCAGCCTTCTCCAGAGGTTGGGGGCTGCCCGTCTGTCCCCAGCTTGGCGCAGAGCCGCAGCGGTGGTGTAGCAGCTCTTGTGCAACTTGCTGCGAGCACCCCGGCAGCCTTGGGGAGGAGGTTTGAAAAGCCACAGCTCACCAAGCCCCTTCCCTTCCCCGCAGATAACACCTGCCGCTTTGAGGACGAGAAGATCTGTGGCTTCGTGCAAGACAAGATGGACAACTTTGACTGGACCCGGCAGAACGCCCTGACCCAGAACCCCAAGCGTACCGTCAACACCGGCCCCCCCACGGACATCAGCGGTACACCGGAGGGTAGGCACACGTCTGGGTTTCTTTTGGCTTGACGTCGGGAGTCCTGATTTCTTTTGGTTTGACGTCGGGAGTCCTGCAGCTCCGGGAGCTGGTGGAGCGCTGATCTGCTTTCCTCACAACACAGTTCTCCTCCACGCAGGGTGCAGGCAGTTAATTTGCATGTTACTGATTGGCATTGAACACACAATTAAAACGCCCATGGCTTTGTTTAAGGGAATAGCGTGAGCATTAGTTCTTGTTACCAGCTAATTGCCTGCTGCCTACTGCCCTCGTCCCATTTGATGCTTGTTTTGAAGTCAAAAAAGAATAAACAATTAGGAGAATGTCTCTTAACGCCTAAAAAAACAGCTCTGCTGGTTTTAGCCAGCTGTTTCTTCAAAGAAGGTCTCAAAGAAGCAAACAGAACTCCTTAGAACCAAGCAGGAGCATGAGAGTCCAGGCAGGAGCTGCCTGCGGGGTCCTCACCTCTAGCTGGAGGCAACCGGTGTTGCCATGTTAGCTGTGCATGGAGTACATAGAATCACAGAAGGGTTTGGGTTGGAAAGGACCTTAAAGACCATCGAGTTCCAACCCCCCTGCCGTGGGCAGGGACACCCTCCGCTAGACCAGGTTGCTTAAAGCGTCATCCTTGAGGATGCTCCCTTTTTAGCTGGATATTACCTTCCCCTTTCTCTAATGAGGAAAGTAAATTTGTATGCAAGCACAAATCTTTGAACTCAGAAAAAAAAAAAAAAAAAGGGAACAATCCAATGGCCAGCTAAGGAAATGGCTTTTCCCATTAATGTTCAGTATACCAGCCTGACCAAGCATTGAAAATGATGCCAACAAATTAAATAGCTAATCTGTTCCTCCCTGGGTTGTTACCAGCCGCTTTGTTATTGTTCTCTTTAGATAGCAATATTGTTTAAGCCAAACATACCGAATCCTCTCTCCCTCTGCTTGAGGCACAGAAATTAGGCTGGGTTGGTTTTGCCCTCCCCTTTCTGGTTTTCTCCTTACACCGTGCAGTCAGCTCTGGGGTTCCTCGTGCTGCAGGAGGAAGGCTCGTTTTGCACCCAGACAGATGTGCGTGTGCATGTTCAGGGATTCCTCTGCTGCCTGTGCTGACAGCGGCTCTGCTGATGCCCATCTCTCCTGCTCTCCCCGAAATACTGCAGAGACAGGGCAGGCAGCTGCGGACATCCTGCGAGTGTCTCTGGCTGGGATGGCAGCAGGTACAGAGCAGATGGGAAGAGCAAGACCGTGTCTCTCAGAGGAGGAGTGCTCTCCCAGCCTCCAGCATCCCATCGCTTGCAGGAAGGGAGATCCAGCGCACGCTGCCTTTCCCCACCTTGCCCTCTCATTCTGCAGGTTATTACATGTTCATCGAGGCATCCCGGCCCCGGGTGACGGGGGACAAAGCCCGGCTCATCAGCCCCCTCTACAACATCACTGCCAAGTATTACTGCGTCTCCTTCTACTACCACATGTATGGGAAGCACATCGGTGAGTACCCTCCGCAGAAGGGTGACCCCAGCCCAGTGCGGGTTGTCGGGGAAGACCTCCAGCCTCCACTCCCCTCTCTGTGCCAGTGACTCAGAAGGGTGGGAGTCCTCCCCCAGTGCTCAAAGCCCCAGGGTGGGCTGTTGCTTTCGGATACCTGTCCCCCAGCAGCGTCAGGGTTGGGAGGCTGTTACAGTCCATCCTCGGGGCAGTAGCTTGCAGTCAGCCATCACTCCATCCCTTCTGGCTTGCTCCTCCTCTAGCATCAGGCTCCCTACCCTCCACCAAAAAGAGCATCGTACCCACATGCACACATTCCCCCCTCTCACAGCCACCTTGCTCCAGGCAGCAGGATGTCAGACGGGAAGAGGAGACGGAGGTGAAGGGGCTTTGTGGGACCAGAGAGCTTGGTGGTGGCCGCGGCTCTTTTGGGGTGGGCAGTGTTCCCTCAGCTGTGCCGAGGGTCTGTCTGCTCTGCCTGGCTCCCTCCTCTCTAACCATAAGCCTACGAGTGCGGCAAGCATCCCAGAAGCACATGGCACACTAATGAGTTTCCAGATCCAGTCAAGGAGCAATTGCTAATTCGTCACCTCTTGATTATAATTTCATTAATTTGAATAATAGATGCACTCTTCCCACAGCACGCTGGGTTATTAATCACCTGCTGGACTGGAGCCTGACTGAAAAATCAGGGCCCGGGCAGGAATGTGTCCACCCTTCAATAAACAGGGTTAATTAACAACTCTCTGCTCGGCACCATTGATGTCGCTGGGAGGGAGCGTGCTCCTGAGCCTGGCCATCGCATCTCTGCGCGTGCGCCGCATGGCAGAGAGGTTCAGCTGCAATATCTGGCATCTCCTTTCAGCGGGCGTGAGGCTGAAATCCTGACCCCGGGGGTGCCAGTGTGTAAGGGCTGGACTCACAGAGCAGGTCTCCATCTCTGTCTTTGAGGACTCGTGTTTGCAGTCTGCACTCAGAGTCCGGACGGGTCGGAGGTGTTGGCACTCACCTCTGTTCCCCCTGCAGACGGGCTGCTCCGTGCTGTGGTTGCTCAGGCAGAGCACTATCAGTGTGGGTTCACACCAGGTTTTCGTGGACCTGCTGGTCTTGCTTAGCTGGCAGAGTCCAGCGTTAATGCTGGCTGGCAAAGCCCCTTGTTCCCCGCAGTTTTTCGTTGTGGTCAGTCGCCTTGGTGCCTAATTCCTGCACATCTCCTGGAGCCTTTGAAAGGGATCTCATCCTTCGTGATGGCGATGAAGGGTGGCCCAGATCGGGGCCAGACTGGGAGGAGAGCTCTGTTTTGTTCGACAGCTCTTGTGTGGCGGTCTGTCTGGAGATGGGGTGGACTAGACGTGCCAAGGGATCGATTCATTTCAGGTTTTTGGTTTTTTAGCACTTTAACTCTTTATTCATTTGCTCCACCCACAAATTGCCCAGAGCAAAAGACACAGTGACTCCCAAGAAAGCCACTGGGTGCCATTTTCTGTTCTTTGGTTTTAAGGCACCTTTTATGCCTGTTGATTTTTCCCTTCGTACTCAATGTCACTGCCCCTACCTGCTCCTCATTTCCCCCTCGTTCCACAAAGGGGCTGATAAATTTGTGCAAGGTGGATAGACTCTTTAATGCCATGTAATGATTTTCCAGGGTGGGTGCTGCTGAGCTGAGAGCAAATACATTATTTTGAAATTAGACTGAATAGATAGAGTCAAGGAATTAGAGGGAGAGAAATGAGGAAAAGTTTTTCTCTTGGCCTGTGGGATACATAGCAAACCCAAAATATGTCTGTCTGCACATTGAAATTCAGTACCGTGTACCTGCTCTCTACTCTGGAGTTCCTTTCAGGGCCAGACATGATACGGCTGTCCTCATCCCAGCGCACACACCAATGATAGAATCATAGAATGGTTTGGGTTGGAAGGGATCTTAAAGATCATCGAGTTCCAACCCCCTGCCATGGGCAGGGACACCTCCCACTAGCCCAGGTTTGGGACATGCTCTGTTTCACTAGCAGGACTAATGGCTCCATCTACATTTCTAATGCACGTTGGTTACTCCCTGGCTCGTTTTGCTTGTGCAGCAGTTGGGAAACCATGCCAGAAAGCTTTTTGTTTGGATAATGCCAGGCTTGATGCCTTTGGTGGCTGGAGTCCTCTCAGAGTCCCTTGGGGAGGTGGCAGCCTGCTTGAGGGCAAAGCAAGTCTCTTCAGCTCTTCTTCTTTTGCTCTGGTTGGAGGAGAGTGCCCCCTCTCAGATACAGGGCTCCTCACTAGGACTTCAGCTGTCAAACGGGGAGATAGACCCTGGCCTCCTACCTGCATCAGTATGTGACAATACGAAGGTAAAGATGGGGTGGTTCCAACCCTGGGCCATGCTTTGCTTCCCATACAGCCAGCTAGCCCTGATGCCTGCAGGCACAGCCCCAACCCCTGGCTCACCTAGTGCCAGCCCAGTCCTACCAAGGCAGATGCCAGCCCTGCTGAGCCAGCCAAAGCACTTAGCAAGAGCGTATCCGATTGCTCCTGTTGGCAGACAGAGCTACCAAGAGGACATCTCCCAGCCCAAAGCCTCTCCTAGCAGCTCCGGCTCCATCGCGGAGCAAACCAAAGCTCTGTCACTATGAAAAGAAGCCATGTAAAATCCCGACATTTATTTATTTTTTTAATAACCTTTTTATTACCTTTTCCCCCCTTCTACAGAACTTGAGAGCTGGTTTACTCTCACAATTTGACTATAAAATATCCATAGCCATCCAGGCAAATCTTCCCTGCGAGAGTGCCCAGACACTACTCGTTTATTATAGATATGACGAAAGAGAGAAACAGAATACAAATGGAGCGTTTGTAGCCATGGTATAAAATATTCAGTGCCTAGCAGAGCAGGGTGATGTTGAATAGCTCTCAGCTGATGGGAGTGCAGGGTGAAGGGGAGCTCCCTGGAGGCAATTCCTGTTCTTCTGGAGTTATTTGGTCATCGGTTTTCCTTCCTCCAGCCCCCTCCAGAGCAAGCATTTGCATTGCCCTACAATCCTGCCAGCCCAGACATAAAAATCAGGAGAAGAAATCCAGTTCCCACCAGGCCTTGAAGAATGAGGGCGTATTGCTTGCGGCAGGTGCAGATATATCAAATGAGGAATTGCTTGCTTTCTTCAGGAGGGGAAGCTAGCCGCAGCAGGCAGCGACCAGTCCCAAGTTGAAAAAGCCTCTTTGTCAAGGTGGCTTGGTGGGTCAGCATCGCAGCTGATCTCACATCCTTGCTTCAGCCATCAGATTCTTCTTCTCATCTCAGAGGCTGCCTGGGAGGGGGATGCTTTGAGGAGACAGCTTGGTGCTGTTTCATAGAATCGTAGAATCACAGAATGGTTTGCGTTGGAAAGGACCTTAAAGATCATCGAGTCCCCCATGGGCAGGGACACCTCCCACTAGCCCAGGTTGCTCAAAGCCTCATCCAGCCTGGCCTTGAACCCCTCCAGGGATGGGGCATCCACAGCTTCCCTGGGCAACCTGTTCCCCGATGGATGGCTCCCACCGCTGTCCCCTGCCACCTCTCTCGTGTCTCCTAACTCAGTGGGAGCCAGGTTATGATCTGCATGCCCACCTGCCCACTGCTGCATGTTCTTGAAGACCCTGCAGCGAAAGATGCCTTCATGGTCAGACCGCAGGAGGAAGGTTGCTCAGAGGGACAAGGAAATTCCAGCCACAGTGGATGTAGCTTTTTGTGTGGCTGTTGTGGTCCCCATGGTGCACAGTGATTGCTCACGCTGTAGCTCCCCGTCTTGTGAGCCAGTGACTGTGCTCATGGGGAAAATATTTGGGGCAAAGAGTTTCCTTGCTCACAGGGGTACCTATGTGCAAGCAGTGATGTGGGATGTACACAAGCAGCATTTTTTTAGCCTCCTGATTTGTGAGATAACTGGGAGACACTTTTCAAACTGTGTTTGCTGTGTTTTTAATAGTAGTAGTCACTTCACACAGGCTTGTGACGAGATATGACTCAGAAAGGGGAGGAGGCAAAGACCTGTCCTTGCCCTGGGGAACCTTCCGCGATGGGACTGTTCAGCTGCTTCCTGGAGTGAAAGGAGCAGGTCCTGGGCTTCAAGAGCTGGGCCTGATGGAATGCAGTGTTTGAAGACTCTGGTCTTGGCTTGAAATTTTTGTACTTGGAGCCTCCTTTCTGCACTAGCAGTGTCATGGGCTTACCTTGGCCAGTTCCTCCCCCAGAAGTCAGGGAACAGGCTTATCTTCTGGTTGTGTCCAGCATCTATGAAACTCATGGAGAGTTAAAGGTGCTGGTGTTCCAGCTCAGTGCTGGCATGGACCTCATCTGACCATCCCAGCTAAGTCTAGCCTAGGTATTATCAGGATGGGAGGCTTCCAATGAAATTGTAAACTACTGATTGCTCTCTACAGCTTCTTGAGGAGGGGAAGTGGAGAAGGAGGTGCTGAGCTCTCCTCCCTGGTATCCAGTGACAGGACACATGGGAATGGTTCAAAGCTGCATCAGGGGAGGATCAGACTCGATATTAGGAAACTTTTCTTTACTGAGAAGGTGGTCAGACACTGGAACAGGCTTCCTAGAGAGGTGGTCGAGGTGATCAGGCAGTTGGACTAGGTGATGGTTGTATGTCCCTTCCAATGGAACTATTATTCTAGTTCTTTTTCTTTTTATTTTCTATTCTATTCTATTCTATTCTGTTCTGTTCTGTTCTGTTCTGTTCTGTTCTAAGATACTGTGAGGAAGAGTGCTTGGGATTGATTGAGAGGGATTTTGGTTCTGAGTCACTTGAAACAATGAGACCTGCTCAGATCTCTTGCCACAGCATCCCATTTCAAGAAAGTCATGAGCAGTTTCCCGAAGGTAATTGGGTTGTAGGACAGGTCACGCTGGTGGTGTCACCACTGACGGCCTCCTGCTGGGTAGGAAACACAGATCTGGAAGGCCTGCCAAACTGAATTGCTTCTTTACTTTTTCAGCTCAGATAATGCAGAGAGTGTAAAGGTGTGTC